AAAAAAAAAAAAAAAAAAGAAAATCAAAAACAAAAGGAAGAAACAAACGCATTTCTACGGAGCAAGTCTCCTCGGTGCTGTCAGCCTTCCAAATCCAGTCACAGTGACTCAGCTGAATCTGACCCTAGGAAACCACAGTAATGCGAATCCGGCTTTTGCTTCCCGGTTTCTTGCCAACGCCCGAAGGGCGTGGCCAACTGATCCCTGGACTCCTTGGGAACAACTTCCTCCTTGCATCCCCTTGCCCCCCACTCAGGACACAGTGCACAGATGGGCCTGCCTAGCCCCTTCAGCCAGATTTTTGAGGTCTCTGTCACACCCCCCCACAAAACCCCTCTCCCCACCCCCAGAGACTTTTCGTGACTTCCGCCAGTTGCTAGGGCGAGCGGGAGTGGAGGGGCCCCTCCTTCATCCCCCAGGCTCCCTCCCTTCCTGAAACTGAGGCCTCTGCCCAGCGCCCCAGGACCAGGCGTTGGGTACCACCCTGGTTGGCTGTCCAACTCAAATGGGCGGGGCAGCAGATAAAAGAGAGAATGCGCCGCGCACTCGGGACTCCTGCACGGTTGCAGCCCCTGCAGCTCAGCCCCGGGAACCTACGCCCCCTCGGCCAGGGTCGCCCCAGCAACCACGAGCCCAGCCAATCAGCGCCCTGGACTGCACTAGAGCCATGGCCGGTGAGTGCTGCGAAGGGCGAAGTTCTTGAGTTTCTGGAGACCTGGTGCTTGTAGGGGTGGTTGAAGGGGCTTAGCCCTGAGTTTTGTTCCTTAACTCAAAATGCACAAAGGGAGAGATTAGGGTGCTGGGATGAGCCTTGATCGGACTCCAGGAGAGGGAGAGTTTCTGTTTGTATGGGAAGCCGCGGATCCTCCCTCACTCCACACCACGAACTCTAGTGGACATTTAGGAAGCAGACCTTGGAAGCAGACATTCCCTCCAAAACTGGGGTTAGTTCAGAAACTGACCGTCGGAGGCCAAGTCAGGCTTGCGGCCACAGTCCATACCTCTTTTGGTCTATAGTATTTAAAACACTGAAATAAAGGGCCGGGCGCGGTGGCTCAAGCCTGTAATCCCAGCACTTTGGGAGGCCGAGGCGGGTGGATCACGAGGTCAAGAGATCGAGACCATCCTGGTCAACATGGT